CATCATGGGAACCTCCCGCTCTAATTCACACCAATCCCGGAATCAGTCCCTGAATCAAGGACGACAGGTATCTGCCTCCTTTCACCCCGGTAGCCGACACCCAGCAATAGAAGGGACTTCAGGGCCATCCCTAGAAGAGCGGATCAGAAAGATGGAGGAATCTCAGAACGAGATCCTTCAACTCTTAAGGGAAGCTCGAGGACCAGCACCAGTACCCCAAGAAAATATTCTTCTCCCTCGAAACCAGCCAGGATTCGAAGACATTCTTCATGTCGAAGTCCCCCTTCCTCCTCCAAGGATGCGCCCTCCTACACGTCCAGAGAATGAGCTTGCTGACACAGCAAGCTCTAACCATCCTTCACGCACAGGCCACCGGCAGCTAGCATATGCCTCCGGACGTCCCCGAGGACTTGGACCAACAGCACGTCATTGAACTCCCCCGCAATACTCTACGGCATGAGTTACGGAGGCTAGTCCGAGAGGAGTTCCCCACAGGGGGTATAAGACAGTCCCTTCACCAACGGGACATTCAGGAGCCATCACCTTTCACCGAAGCTGTCCTCCGATACCCCGTTTCGGCAAGATTCAAACTCCCGAATATTGATTCTTATGATGGGACTTCAGACCCCTATGAGCATATCGACCACTACCGCACTATTATGCATATCCAGCAGGCCCTAGACGCTTTTCTCTATCAAGTTTTTCTTGCCACCCTTAAAGGGCAGGCCCGGACATGGTTCTACTTACTTCCCCCGCGGTCCATTCCACTATTCGTTAAATTGGCCAAATTGTTTGTCGAGCAATTTATTGCCAACCGAAGAATGATTAAAGACTCCTCCCACCTTTCAGGGATACGATAGAACGAGGGTGAATCTCTTAAAGAGTACTTTCAAAGGTTTTCAACGGAAGCCCGGCAAATTCCAGGGGTAGATCCTGAATTGCTAAGAGGTGTATTTCTTGGAGGGCTTCGCCCGGGCCCCTTCTACTCAGCACTCATGCGAGAAACGGTCTATTCATATGCGAATTTAATCCATCGAGTAGAGGCCCAAATCACTGCCGATGAAGCCATCAATTCTCATAGGAAGCAATTCGAGCAGACAATCGGGAAGCGTAAAAATCCCTCAGGGATAGAGAATCCCCCATCAGAAAGGAAGAAGTAAGGAAGCTACAATCTTCCTCCTCAGGCCTCACAACCGTGACGAGAGCCTCACCAAGAAAAGGAGTACACACCACTCAATACATCCCGAGTGAATGTATTGATGTTTGTCCGAGATCAGGAGAACATAAAATTGCCACACCCTTTAAAGCCCAACGTCGAAAACCATGAGCAATATTGCCACTTCCACCGCAGCCATGGGCACACTACTGAAGCATGCAGGCAACTCAAAGAAGAAATTGAGAGACTGATCCGACAAGGATATCTCCGATAATTCATTAATAATATGCCATCCCAAGATGAAGTTGGCCCGACTGGGGGGCAGAATCAACAACAAAGGCAGTCAGTAAACAATCACCAAATAGTAGGGGAGATCGAAACTATTACTGGAGGCCCATCAACTCCTTGTCAAGTTCTAATAGCAGAGAACAAGGAGCCACCCACAAAGAAACTTCATGTCGATCACTCCATCACCTTCGAGGAGTCCGATCTAGAAGGCGTAAAGACCCCTCATTAAGATTCACTAGTGATTAGCACAGGAATCAGTAGCCCATGCTACAATGTTAAAAGGATCTTGGTTGACAATAGAAGCTCAGTATATGTTCTATTCTACTCCACTTTTCTTAGCATGGGCCTACCCAGAGAGAAACTCCAGCTTGCTGCCAGTCCACTATACGGATTTGACAACATATATGTAAGAGTTGAAGGAACCATTACTCTCCTTGTCATACTTGGAGAATTCCCCCGATAAGTTGAACACCCCATTATGTTCATCGTAGTGAAATCTGAATCAGCCTACAATGCAATCTTTGGAAGACCACTCCAAATAATCTTCGGGGCTATTGCTTCAATTCCCCACTTAAAGCTCAAGTTTCCTACCCCATCGGGGATCAGAACAGTACGAGGAGATCAACAAGTAGCACAATCATGCTATCTTAGGCAGGCTCAACCACACTCATCAGTTACTCTAAGCATCAAGGACTTCGATCTTCAGAATGAAGATACCCCTCAAAGGGCCTCCTCTGTAGAAGATCTTAACTATGTCTCTCTATCAGAAGAGCATCCTTCGAGAACAGTACAGATCGGATCACTCCTCTCAGATGCAGAGAAAAAAAATACGTAGACTTTCTACGTATAAATCAAGATGTATTTGTATGGAGTTCGGCTGATATGCCCGGCATCAATCCTGAAGTAATCATGCACTCCCTCAAGATCAACCCAGCATGTAAACCAGCGATTCAAAATAAACAAAACTTTGCGCTAGAACGTCAGCTAACAATCGACTAGGAGGTTGATAAGTTTTTAAAAGCAAGATTTATAAGGGAGGTACACTATCCCGCTTGGTTGGCCAATGTCGTAATGGTTCGAAAAGCAAGTGGAGCTTGGAGAATGTGTGTAGACTATACTGATCTCAACAAAGCCTGCCTCAAGGACAATTTCTCGCTTCCCCGTATTGTCCAACTAGTTGATGCCACCTCTGGACATCAGATGCTAAGCTTCATGGATGCTTATTCTGGATACAATCAAATACAAATGGATCCTGCTGATGAGGAGGCAACAGCTTTTCAAATAGATAAAACATTATACTGCTACCTAGAATGCCGTTCGGATTCAAAAATGCAGGAGCAACATACCAACAACTGATGAATAAGGTTTTTAAGAATCTTATCGGGCTTACCATGGAAGTCTATGTAGATGACATACTAGTAAAGAGTCTCGAGAAATCTCAGCATATCTCGGATTTGGAAGAATGTTTCTGCCTCCTTCGATCTTACAACATGCGCCTCAACCCCTCCAAATGTGCATTTCGGGTTGCCTTAGGAAAATTTTTGGGGTTCATGGTTACCCATCGAGGGATTGAGGCCAACCCGGAGAAGATCAAGGCCCTAAGAGACATGCTACCCCCAAGAAATATCAAAGAAGTCCAGAGATTGAACGGAAGGATTGCAGCACTCTCTCAATTTCTGGCTCGATCAGGAGACAAATATTTTCCTTTCTTCAAGGTTCTCAGAGGTGCTCGAAGCTTAGGGTTCCAATGGACCGATAAATGCCAAGAGGCTTACGAACAACTCCGGGCTTACCTAGCCTCGCCGCCACTACTCTCGAAACCAATTCCATGGGAAATTTTATATATGTATATGGTCGTCTCCTCCCAGGCTATAAGTTCGGTCTTGGTTCAGGTAGAGGATACGATTCAACACCCAGTCTATTACATTAGCAAGATACTTTCAGAGACTGAGACACGTTATCCATTGGCAGACAAAATAGCCTTAGTATTAGTCTTCTCAGCAAGAAAGTTATGACCTTACTTCCAAGCGCACGCGATCAGGATTTATACAAACCTCCCGTTGAAAAGTATTCTCCAAAAACCTGAGGCATTTGGAAGATTGATCAAATGGTCAGTGGAGCTCAGGGAGTTTGATATACAGTTCCTACCTAGACCCGACATCAAATCACAAGTGCTTGCTGATTTCGTGGTCGAATGCACTAGCCACACCTATAGTGAATCACTTGATATGTCTCATTCCTCCTCCTGCTGGACATTATATGTCGATGGAGCTTCTGGGAGTTCTGGTGCTGGCGCTTAAATCTTATTAATCTCCCCGTAGAAAGCCACACTCGAATACGAGCTTAGACTGAAGTTACCAGCAACAAACAACATTGCTGAATATGAAGCTTTAATCGCTGGATTAAGATTGGCAATCGATTGCGAAGTCCAGGACTTAGTGGTTCACACTGATTCCCAGCTGGTTGCCTCTCAGGTAGAAGGGGAGTTTGATGCTCACAACCCATTATTGGCCCAATACTGTCAGATAATTAAAATAGCGAAACATCAGATTGTCCATATCCTTCGAGAGTAGAATGCAAAGGCAGACTCTCTCTCAAAGATGGCCACTTCTACGACAGGAGATGTTTTCAAAAGAAAGCACATTGAGGAGATCCATTTCCCTAGCGTACAAAGACCATGGGTGGTTCAATCAATAGATGAATCAAAAGAAGTTTCTTGGATCGACCCCATTCTCGCTCAAATACAAGAAGGCTCTCTTCCTGAAGACCCAACAATGGCAGTACGACTTCGGAGGCAGGCAGCAAACTTCACCATTATTAATGGAGAGTTATACAAACAATCTTTCACAAGGCCATACCTCAAATGACTTCCTCCTTCGGAGGCGAACTATGCACTTCAAAAAGTACCGTCAGGCATCTGTGGAGAACATTTGGGCGGAAGAGCATTAGCCCAAAAGGTCCTGAGGCAAGGAATTTACTGGACGACGATAAAGCAGGACGCATTAGAGCTTGTACGAAAATGTAACCGTTTCCAGTTACATGCCAACCTCACTCATCTACCTGCCATTAAAATCTCGACATTACAGAGTCCCTGGCCTTTTGCCCAATGGGGGATTGACATAATGAGACCATTTCTTATAGCCACGGGACAGCGGAAGTTCATCATATTGGCCGTTGACTATTTCACAAAATGGGTAGAAGCAGAACCACTGGCAAAAATCACTGAAACAAATGCCAAACAGTTTCTGTGGAAGAACATAATATGTCGCTTTGGCATTCCTGCAAAAGTTATCACTGATAATGGATCACAGTTCACCGGAAGGGTCTTCACCGCATTTTGTAAAGATCTCCACATTCAACTAGTACACACGGCTGTGGCCCATCATCAGACTAATGGACAGACAAAGGTCACTAATCGAACCATTTTGAGAGGATTGAAGACACGGTTGGATAAGGCTGGGGGGCAATGGGCTGATGAGCTCCCAAATGTCCTTTGGGCCTATCGTACTACAGCGAAGACTCCAACAGGAGAGACGCCGTATAACCTCTGCTTTGGCACAGAGGCTGTCATTCCCGTCGACATTGGAGTTCCAAGTCACAGAGTATAAACTTTTGACTCCAATACTAATGAAGAAAAACTCAGACACAACCTAGACCTCCTTCTAGAAGTAAGAAACGAGACAATGCTTAAGGTTGCTGCCTACCACCAGAGAGTTGCCCGTCACTATAACAGAAGGATGAAGCCGCGACATATATCGGTAGGAGATCTGGTCCTACGCAGTATTGAGGCAGCAGGCAAAGGCCCTCAACGAAATAAACTCTCCCCCCTCTAGGAAGGCCCGTACCTAGTAGCATCTATGGTAAAGCTCGCAACTTTCAAATTAAAGGATGCTAAAGGGAAGATGCTTCCTCGGACTTGGAATATTGACAATCTCCGTAAATACTATCAGTAGAGCATGATGATGTCGCTTAGTGTTGTATGCATTTAGTATTATGTATTTTCAATACTATGTGTATCGTTAATTTTGAATGTTGTTTGTGATGTTTTTAGTTTCTCCCTCCCTTAAGCTGTCTTTGGGAGCTATGTTCTTTGTTTAAAAGCAGTAAAGACTTTGTTTCTTTGTCTTCCTCGAAAAAAATTATTTTGAGTTTTAAACTTCAATATCTTTGATTCGAGCAGCACACAATTATTGTTATAGCTTAGTCATTACATGATCAATCTCAGGGGGATTCGGTCCGACCTCTTCCACACATGTTAACGCCATTAAGCAGGGCTCTGGCACACAACCTAGGATTGATCTTACATCATTGGTGGATTCTTTCGACCTCTTCCACACAGGTTAACGCCATCGAGCAGGGCTCTGGAACATAACCTCGGATAGGTATTACATCCTTGGTGGATTCTCTCGACCTCTTCCACACAGGTTAACGCCATCGAGTAGGGCTCTAGCACAAAACCTCGAATAGGTCTTACATCCTTGGTAGATTCTCTAGACCTCTTCCACACAGGTTAACATCATTGAGCATGGCTCTGACATACAACCTCGGATAGGTCCTACATCCTTAGTGGATTCTTCTAACCTCTTTCACACAGGTTGGCATCATCGAGCAGGGCTCTAACAAGCAACCTCGAGGAGGTCTCTCATCCTTGGTGGATCCTCCTAAACTCCTCGATACAAATTAAAATGTAAATACCTTAAGCAAACATAAACAAAATTCACTCAAGATGAATAAATGCACTAAAATATTTAAACCAGATAAAAATACATCAACAATCTACTAATAAATCAAAGTAAATATCACACATTAACACAAACATCAGGTACATCGCAAACACTAAAAAAGACAAACCAATACAAACATCATAAACTAAAAATCCTACTCAACATTTACAATCTCATCATCCACGTCAAGATCCAGGACCTTCCGAAGATCACTCTCTACCTCATCACCATCAGAACCTGAAGGAAAGTCATCTGAAGCCTGGCTAGGGGTCACCTCTTTGACTGAAACTTTGATCTTTTGCTACATCAGGCAAACCCCCTTAAAGAAGCCTCAAATAAATCCATCTTCAGTACACTGCTGCTCCAAACCCTTCACTTTTATGTCATAGATGTGATCTCGAGCCTCCTCAACGTGATCCTGAATGATAGTCTTGAAAGCTATGGACTTCTTGAAATCTTCAATAACTCTTGAAGGTTCTAAGCTATACAAAGCGGCCTCCTTTTCAGCTATAAGAACCTAGGACTTCTTATCCTTTGTCTCAAGTGATGCTATCTTCTCTTCAGAAGCCTTCTGATCCTTTAAAAGCCTGGTGATTGTCGCTTGAGCCTCCTCTAGATCTAGTTGATGTTGATCTGCCTGCCGATTTTGGAGAGATACGGAGTGCATTGTATTGGCCAGCTCAGTCCTTCACTCACTCAACTCTTCTTCAAGCACTTTTATCTCCTTGACCTTCTGATCATACTTTCGCTTGAACTCTTCCTGGAGATACTTAATCTTAACAAACTCACTGTTCCAGTCATTAATCTCGATCCCAAGGCGTGATAGATGAAATAAAAAAGAGAAGTTTATTAAAAGTCACCCCAAAAGAAAAAGAGATAAAAGCATTGAGACATGCTACTCACCAAATTTCTAGTTTTATTGTGTCCAATACACTAGTGGCTCAAAACATCCTCAGGGATACGCAACTTATCTGGGGAAGAGTCAGGTAGAGCTTTGTCAGTACTTATTGCAGTCTCTTCCAACCTCTTCTTCTTTAAAACCTGAGGGTCTTCGCCTCTTGTCGGTCGTTTGGGAGCCGCTTTTGAAGTAGGGGCAGGAGGCTCAGGAATCCTGGATGTCGGCTTCAACATCCTTGCATCAGACCTCCCAACATGAAATGAAATTCCAACCTTGAATAAGAACTCTTCTTCAGTGTATTTGCTCATGTGACGAACCTCAAATAGAAGATGATCGAGATCAGAAACCTTCAAGATTCTCTATATGTCTTCTTCGCTTACATGTAGAGGGGATGGCAGATCTCTCATCTTCCCCCACTTCTCTATCAAGCCTCAATCATTCTTCACAAAAAAGAAAGCACTGAGCCAGTTCTTTGAAGGATCGCGGGTACGCACATCCAATCATTTGGATCTAAAAATTATATGCCCAAATGTATCACTGGTGAACCGACCCATCCGTGAAAGGTGCTCCGGTGTCATAGTAGCTCCCTGATCCCAAAAGAGAGCAATCAATCCCACAGTCACCGACATTGCTCTAAATGAAAGTTGGGATAGGTTCACACCGCACCTTTGTAAGACTTCAATCAACTCGGTAGGAGGCAGAAAGCGTAAACCAGCCCGCAAGTGGGCCTCAAAAACGGTCACGTACCCGGGAGGAGGAAGATTAGCTCGATCAGACCTCCTAGGGACCATCATCTTCACATCATTCGGGAAGTGATAATTCTGTTGACCTCATTTTTGTATGAGGTTACTAGGACC